TTATTTTCTCCATGCTGTCAAAGTACTGCCATTTCTATTCGCAGCATTAAGCTTTAACAAACGTACAAATGCGACTTTTTATTTTATTATTTTTTATTTATTTATTTTTATTTAATTTTTAACTTAATTATTTGTTTTATTTTATTTTCCATGCCCTCAAAGCACTGCCATTTCTATCAGCACCATTAAGCTTTAACAAACGTACTAATGTATTTTTATTAATGTTATTTTCATTTATTTATTTTTATAATTTTTTCAATTTTATTATTTAATTTTCTTTAATTTTATATTTATTTTCCATGCCACTTAATTACTACTATTTTAATTAGCAGCATTAAGATTTAACAAACTTACAAATGCATTTTTAATTTATTTTATTTTTATTTTTTTTATTTCATTTTTAAAATATTTTATTTTAACTTCCATGCTGTCAAAGTAAAGTCATTTCTATTAGCAGCATTAGGCTTTAACAAACTTACAAATGCATTTTTCATTTATTCTTTTATTTATTGATTGATTCATTTATTATTTATTTATTTATTTTTATTAATTTAATTTAGTTTTTTTCCATGCTGTCAAATTACTGCCATTTCTATTAGCAGCATTAAGCTTTAATACACTTACAAATGCATTTTTTTAGTTGTATTATTATGATTTTATTTTTACTTTTTTATTATTAAATGACTTCCTTTTTACTTAATTGTTTTTGTAAAGACTTCAATTAGCATCAAGCTTTAACAAACTTACAAATGGAGCAGGTGTAGCAGTAGATTGGGGTTTTTATCACCCGTTTTTTTTTTTCAATCTGCTTGTTTGTCCATGCAGGAAACATCACCTAGAGGAGTTATTGGGCTGTTCTCACCGGCTCAGCATTTTCCAGCAACCCATTAGATCCTTAACAATCTCATCTTGTTCAGTATTGATTGCAACAGTGATCAAATTAGAAATACAGAATGTGTTTTCCCCTCTGTAAATTCAATGTTATAGAAATAACAAAGAGCTTAAAGTAAATAGGTTAGAATTTGCAGACGCATTAATAAACAGGGCTAATTAAAGGCCCTGATTTTGACCTGTTGCTATTTCTGTGTGCAAACCAATTGGAAATAGCTGAATCCGAGGTCAGTTTTATTAATGTATATCCACTGGCACATATTTGCATTAATGTGTTTACGATTAGTTGTAGATGGTACAAGAAATGTACACTACGACTGACTGACTGAAATTAAACTGTGAATTGTTTTTAGACAGTGAGCTTAAAGATAAAGGGATGGTTCACCCAAAAATGAAAATTCTTTCATAATTTACTCTCAATTTTCTTGTTTTAAACCTTTGAGTTTCTTTTTTAAGAAACAATCAGGAAGATATTTTTTTAAATGTTGTAACCCTTTTTTAGGTTTAAAACTTGTAATGCTTGACTTCAATAATATTTGTTTTGCCATGGAAGTTATTGGTTTGAGGTTTTCAGCTTTCTTACAAAGGTTTGAATCTATTGAGAGTGAGTGAGTAAATTTAAATTTTTGAGTGAACTATCACTTTCATTTCCTATGCTGTATCCATTCCAAATGTTAGATGAAAGTAAGCAGCATTGCATTGCAAAGACTTTGGTAATTAACTGAAATAATTGTGACAAAAGCACAAAAATATGCTAAAATCACAGCTATACTTTCCAGGTAGAATGGAGTAGTGCTAAAATTGTTTATTTAAAAAATACTCAGTCTACTTGATATACAATTGGATCTGTTAGAGTAAAATGGCTAAATAAACTGCTAAAGTTTGGTTTGCTCTTTTAGCCGATTGGCCTGGGGTTGGTGAACATTGGATGCATCATAGCTTTGTGTCATGCCAATGTTGACAGACTCAAGTTGTTGCGTCATTGGCTTCCAGTGTAGACACTGTTTATGGGCAGCAATCTGTCAGTGTGGACAGACCAGAACACTCATATCTATTATGGCAGGCCAAACAGCTTACAACATAAGGGACGGAAAGCCACATCTAGTTACGTCCCAGATAATAAGAAACAAACTTGATATCTGTTCGTATAGTTGATGCCCAAATGGTTCTACAAAAATCCAATTTACTGGATTTCAAGTCACATCCTCGTGAGACTTCAAATGATTTAGTTGAAATCAGATTTCATGCTTTTTTGGCTATTCGGGTTACAAATGAAACTAAAAGGATTTGAGTCAGATGCCTCAAAATCGGCTTTAGTCAGCCAGTGTTAACAAATAATCATCTCAACTTGGCAAAATAGTGGATGAGATGAATGTGCAGTGTTAAGGCAAGAAATCCCAGGTAAATAGGGTAAAAAAAAAAAGTATCTAAAATATATTAACATAGTCCTCCAGGTGATTGATTAACCTAAGTTTTTGTTATGAAATTTTAAGTATAACTTTGCAACCGAGGTCTTGCCTTATTAAGTTTACGTTTATTTGCATATTTTCCAGACTGAACAATGTTTTAAAAGTCTTATTTCTTCTTCTTTCCTTTGTTTTGGTGTATTATACTGTGTTAAAGGTTTTACTCTGGGGTATTTATAGATTTCAGGAAAGCAACATCATATTTAAAAAAATAAAATGTTTGAAATTTAGAGAGATTTCTGACTCGGTGCATGAGATAAATATATATAAAAATATATATTTATTATTGCTTTCTTGCCTGATATTGCATCAATTCTTTTCTTTTTTTGTAGGAGGAAGATTTAATGACTTACTTTAATAACCGTAAAATGCACTGGAACTCTTGTGTACAAAAAGACACAATTTAAAGGTCCCCAAGGATATTTTATGTATTCTGCAATAATAACAAAGTTGAATAACAATCAAACAATAATTTTAAAGGAATAGTTCAACCAAATATGAAAATAATGTTAATCATTACTCATTATTAAAATGTCTTTCCAATCCCCTGAGATCTTTGTTCATATGTGTAAAAAAAAAAATTAAGATGGTTTAGATGAAACCCAAGAGCCCTCTTATCCTCCACGGATAGCAGCAGTCCCCAGATGTTCAAAGTCTCACATGGTCGCCCACTGAAGCTAAGCAGGGCTGCGCCCGGTCAGTACCTGGATGGGAGACCACTTGGGAAAGCTAGGTTGCTGCCGGAAGTGGAGTTAGTGAGGCCAGCAGGGGGCGCCCAACCTGCGGTCTGTGTGGGTCCTAATGCCCCAGTATAGTGACGGGGACTCTATACTGCTCAGTGAGCGCCGTCTTTCGGATGAGACGTTAAACCAAGGTCCCGACTCTCTGTGGTCGTTAAAAATCCCAGGATGTCCTTCGAAAAAGAGTAGGGGTTTAACCCCGGCATCCTGGCCAAATCTGCCCACTGGCCTCTGTCCATCATGGCCTCCTAACCCTCCCCATATCATGATTGGCATATCATCACTCTGTCTCCTCTCCACCAATCAGCTGGTTTGTGGTGTGCGGTCTGGCGCAAAATGGCTGCCGTCGCATCATCCAGGTGGATGCTGCACACTGGTGGTGGATAAGGAGATTCCCCCCCCATTGTGTAAAGCGCTTTGAGTGCCCAGAAAAGCGCTATATAAATGTAACGCATTATTATTATTATTATTATTATTATTAGAAAATAAACCAATAAAATTGTCAAAGTGTTTCATGTGACTTCAGTGGTGCTCTAAAAAACTGTAAAAATGACTGTTCTCCAATGTCTTCCATGTCAGATTATGGTATGCATTCACTATAGCCCATTTGCTACAATTCTTTCATTTTGCGCTGCGAACTGTAATGGAAATTCATCACATTAGCCATAGTAAATGCACACCCGGACCTGATGTGAAGGACACTGGCAAACAAAGTGATTTTTTTGGTCTACAAAACTGTTTTTGGAGCATCTTATGATTACATTTGAATGTAATTCAAATGTCTTAGTTGGCACGGGCTGGTATAAGATTCTGATTGTATGGTAACCTCGGTTTTGTGGTATCATGTTATTGTGATAACTGCTCTAAAATATGTTTTTATTTTATTTATTTATTTTTTTTTTATCTCTGGGTAAAAAACACTTTTTCACTATTGAACATCGGGCTGGGCAATTAGGCCAAAAATGTAAATTTTGATTAATTGAACATTTTGACTTGATTATGATTAATGAACGATTATTTCATTTTTTTATTTTCTTTTATTTTATAAAAATATGCCATCTCAAGGCATCTCTGCCGCAGCTTCCAGTCATCATCAGTGTATTGCAAACGTGGGACGTGTAGTTATATTTTGTAAGAGGTGGACAGGTATGCGACCACGCAAAGGCTGCGCCGGACCATACACGTGCATTCGACACTAAAGTATAAATCAGCCCTAACAGAGCGGGGTCATGTGACTCTACACACGGTAGGGAAAAGAAATTGAAAGAATTGATCTAAAAAAAATTTGATTGATTTATAGGTTCTGAATGTCAATTTCAATTACTTTTTGATTAATCACCCAGCCCTAATTGAACACAATATATTTTATTTTAAGAAACAATAAAACTATTTTGGGACAGTAGCTTTTGATATGGAGGGTCTTTTTCTGCTGGAGATACTGTTTCCCTAATAGACTAAATAAAATAGTTGTAAAAAAAAAAAAAACGTGCATACATCGTAGGAACGGTATAACAGAAAAATATGACAGTTTTAAAACCTTGACTTTTTTTAATCCACAGTAAACCTTGAAACCGGTTGTTGTCCCAATCCATAGTCTTGAGACCATTGCTGTGTATGGAGAATGAGGGAGCTCTCAAATTTCCTCTAAAATATCCTAATTTGTATTCAGAAGATAAATAAATGTCTCAGGGGACTGAAAGTACATGATGATGAATGATTAATACCAGAATTTTCATTTTTGGGGGTGAACAAACCCTTTAGATTAAGTCATTTTGAAGACCCCACAATACATACATCTATTTCTAGTTTATCTGTTTTTCTATAGATGATACAAAAGCAGATAACTGTTTTTATTTTATATATAACCATTTCAATGCCTTTCCCATCTCTGTGTCTCTTTCAGCGTTCACCATGATGATCATCCTGGCCTTAATCCGCATCGGCAAGGGTCACGGGGAGGGCAAGCCATCCGTGGCTCAGATCTCAGGAGTGCCCAACCTCTTCGGAGTCTGCGTTTACTCATTCATGTGCCAGCACTCTCTGCCCTCGCTCGTGACGCCCATCTCCAACAAGCAGCGAATGAGCATCCTGGTCATGGCCGACTACATTCTAATCCTGTGCTTTTATGCCCTGCTCTCCCTCACAGCCATATTCTGCTTCGACAGTTCCCTTCTGCGCGACATGTACACTTTAAACTTCACTGACAACTGCGACGTTCTAGGCGTCCCAGTGCTGCGCTACTTCCTAGGCCTCTTTCCCGTTTTCACCATCAGCACCAACTTTCCCATAATAGCAGTCACGCTACGCAACAACTGGAAGACTCTTTTCCATCGGGATGGCGGCACGTACCCTTGGGTGGTGGACCGTGTTGTTTTTCCGCTCATTACTCTGGTGCCTCCCATTATCGTGGCCTTCTGTACTCACGATCTGGAGTCGCTCGTGGGCATCACTGGAGCGTACGCTGGAACGGGCATTCAGTACATCATCCCGGCCTTCCTGGTGTATTTTAGCCGACGCCACTTAGAGCCTGTTTTAGGAAGGGATGCTGTAAACAAGCACCGGTCACCCTTCCGACACACGTTCTGGGTTTGCTTTGTGGTGCTGTGGGCGACGTTCTGCTTAATGTTCGTGACTGCTAATATCGTCCTTAACGAAACCAAGAACTAAGATCAAAAGCAGATCTGTGTGTTCTTTTTCAAGGGTGTTTGTTTGCTAATGCATTAAAGCAGCGGCGTTAGCTGACGTCTAATACAGTGTAATTTAATTGAATGTGTAAAAGGGACCAAAGGATGTTTTGGCATTACTTGAGTTGTACTGTACAAACGTTAGATAGTTTTTGGTCTCGCAAGCACAGTCTGTATTTTCCGTCTTATGAGTCTTATTAAAACATGCCTGGCTCATATTTCAAAATTTGAACATTTTTATTTTGAATAAGGAAGACGATTATATAAGAAATAAATAAATAAATTCCTAAATAAGAAAAAATATAATGATAAAAGATACTTTTTGTTGCGGTAAAACTACTGTAAGATGGTGTTCATTATAGTTCATAATAGATTATAGTAATTTATTTTCAGTATATACATGGATTAAAAGCAAAAAAACATTTTTAAATGTTATATCATTTATGGAATATTTAAATAAAAACATTTAGATATTCCATAATTTAATTATTTAATCATAATCTGTTATTTTTTTGCATCTATTTAAAATTGGGAAAAATAATATGGCCTTGCTATGTTTTATTAGATTTTTTTGTCATCATTTATATATATATATATATATATATATATATATATATATATATACACAAGAAACAATGCTAATTTTGTTTGTTTGTTTGTATGTTTATTCAGTTTTTTGGTTTTTGTTGTCGTCCTTTTTGTAAAAGAAAAAAAAGAAAAAAAGCCCAAACAAATACACCAAATATAAATGTCTGATATCCATCAAGTCAAAGACGAACAGACTGACAATAAACGTTCCTAGTTTTGGTCTTCCAAGATTGTTAGCGTTTCACAGCTGGCATTTGCGGCGTTCCTGCACTGACGAATGGAGACACGGGCGCAACGCGGGTCTGAATAATGTACCCAGACCTGGAGTTCAATCTCAGTTCATCAGCAGATTGATGGAGGCATTGAAAGCTTCCATATGTTCTCCATGTACTGACGTCTTACCCGGAGCTCATGGGTGCTCAAACGGGCCCTTAGGGAAGCGGGAAGGGAAGACAAACTTGGCACTAAATGGACACATCTGCCTGGGGATCTACAGAGACTGATATTTATCATTATCAAAATGGAGCACCTTACCGTGCCTCATGCGAATATTAGCATTAACGTCACTTTAGTTCTGACGAAGCTGTCGCAATTTTAATAGTAGGGATAGTTCAACCAAAAATGCCATCATTAACACATCTTTGATTTGTTCCAAACCAGTTTTAAGTTTTATTTGCTGTTCTGTTGAACACACAGGAAGATATTTTGAAAACCTTTAACCATTGACTTCCATAGTGTTTTTACAATTATAAATGTTAATAGTTACAGCTTTCTAACGTTCTTCAAAATATCTTCCTTTGTGTTGGTCTGAAGCAACTGAATGATGAGTAAATGTTGGCAAAAATTGCATTTTTGGTTAAACTATCCCTTAAATTCAAGTCTAAATGTATGGCAGCTGATTCCTACTCCGCCTTCATTTTGTGTGTTTTTTTTTTTTTCCACTACTTTTTACGTTCCTAAAAGGGATGGTTCATTCATTGTGTTATTGTTTACTTGCCCTCATGTCTTTCCAGATCCGTAAGAATTTTGTTTATCTTCCAAACACAATTAACAAAATATTTTAGTCAAATGATCAGTCAAGTATCAAGATTTAGTCAAGAAATTAAGAGATTTCTGTCACCACCAAATCTTTCATAACACGAAACACAGCAAAAATAATTCATATAAATCAACGCTTTGTTTTTTGTAAAGACATGATTGATTAGAATGTTTTTTTTTTTTAAATATAAACATTGATCAGCAAACAATGTTTACAGTATTGGAATTTGGTCATGCTTGCTTGAAGTGTGCGAACCAACGTGGTATGCTTTCAGTTGTCACATGCCACATTCGAGCTTCACAATGAACCAATTGGGTTTGTTTTTATTCAAGCTTCTGCTCATGTTTGCTGGTTAATGTTTACATGTGAATAACACATGCCTACATTAAATCTGCACATCATAAAAAACAATTGATAATAATTGGATTAAACTACATCATTTATTTGAATTAATTTTTTTGATGTCTTTATGACCCGTTAAAGTTTTTCATGAAGGCAATCAATTGAAGGACTGAAATATCTCAGATTTGATTTAAAATATTTTCATTTGTGTTTTGAAGATGATTGAGTCTTATGGGTTTGGAAATCATATTTCTCGTTGTTTTAAATAGTTTGACACTTTTTGATGAAATTTGATGCATGTTTCAACTCCTTTTGCCCGTATTATGCACAGTTTACTTTTGTACCCTGTTGTCATGAAGTTGACTTTGTCCTCCTTTGTTTTGGAGACAAACATACAAAGCCCTTTTCACCTCACCTTTTATGCACAGAAATGAAAGTCAAGTTTAAAATGTCATGTGGGCAAGTAAATGAGTTCAGTTTTGGTTCTGAGTTCTGTTTCTTTAAACAGACAGTTTACCCCCCAAAAATAAAAGAAATACTGTTAATTTACTCACCCTAAGGCCATTCAAGGTGTAGGTGACCTTTTTCCAGTATAACATTATAGATTTCTTGGAGTCCTTGAGGATTCATAACATTTTAGCCTGCTTAAAGCAGTGCTTTTAGGGGTCAAAAATACATGAAAAGTTAAATCTTCTTCTAATGTTTTGTCTGTACAAGTAACTGAAAATTATTTCTAACATTATTAATCCAGGACCTCTATAAACAGACCTAATTTTCTGGATTACAAGAATCCTGTTACGTTATTATGCATCTTAAATGTTAAAAACTTGTTGTGTTGATGTCTCTTATAACTAAATCTTCCCTATTGGGTCTAAATTTTGGTTTGCCTGTATATGTTAGTTTTTTTGGACCCTCAAAGTGCCATAGCCATTAACTTTCATTTTAGGAAACACCAAAAACCTCAAATATCTTTTAATTCAACTGAAAAAGAAGTCACATACACCTTGGACAAACTAAGGGTGAGTGAACTAAAAGCAAATGTAAATTTGAAAAAGAACTTTACCTTTAGCGTTTTTGTAAGTCTGTGTTTATTTTCTTCTGTCCATCCTCATATCTGCCTCAGATTTTAAAAAGGCATTGCAAATCTGTCCCCGGTTTGTTGATTCGACACATTTTCTTCTGTTTTCTTCTGTGTTTTATGTCAGAGGTTGAGTGGTTTGATCATCGGTGGCGTGTTTGATACTGTAAACTGATCACTGCTCTCTGTGAGAGTTCTGAGAGAAGCTGATGTTCTTTAATTTACACCTTTTCAGCCGATGATTTAAAGGGAAACACTTCTTGTTTGTGGACAGAACCGACTTCTCCTTATTTACTTCTTACTCTGATCTGCTCCACAATGTTTGAATTTGGGACCCCTTAAAGCACAAAGTGAGTTATTTTATTTTACATGTTGTTAAAATATTACCCAATGCTTCTGTGAAATGTCCACTCTGTGTTCAGTGTAACAAATGTGCCTTCTTTCCAGAGATCTCTCCGATTTCACAGGAATAACCATGTCTGTTTCTTTCTCTGTCAAATGTCTTGAGTGTGTGTATTGTGCTGCTCGTCACTTGCATGTAAGTCACTTCAAATTCTTGACAATCACATCCTCCGATGTCTCGTTAAAATAAAAATGGATATGCTCGTTTTGATCTTCGAGACATTTTTTTTCTCTCGCTTTTTGCATTTTACTGTTTGTAGTGTCGGATAAAACAATTCTTTAATTACCTCAGAAATACCTCCGGATGTTTTTAAAAGTTTTATAAAGAATTTAGTTTCTAAATGTGTGTATTTATTTACATTTATCTTTGATAGTAATTAGTATTTGGTTTTATTTTTTATAGTTCTAATGCATTTTTATTTTAAAACTTTACTTTTTTAATTAATCATTTACTCGTGTTTAATCTGGTTTTCTCTATACTTGTTCAGCACTTTTAAAAAATCATTTGCTTAATTTTTAACGGATATAAATTCAAGATATGAATACTTTCCGGATGCACTGTAGATCCTAAAGGATAAAAAAAAGCAGCTGGAGTGAGAGCCCCCACATGGCTTTGCGGGGTATAAAGCATCGTCTTTGTAGATATTTGTAGCAATGCCTTTTCCTTGTCTCCAAGTTAACAGGTCTACTGTAGCTCTTTATTGTCAATATAAACCTCTGAATGTTAGTCCCACATGCTTCATCACAAACCCTGTCTTTTTATGTCCATTCTGGGCTGTTTTGTCAAATAAAAATACCTCCCCGTCCGTTCTTATTTCCCTAATTTATGCAGATTTGATGATGCTGGTTTCACAGTGCTCATTTGATTTGATAAAATCTGGCATTTTTACAGTTTTCATTGCTTTCTAGTACATGCTCTGAGTAATAATGCTGGAGAAGCCAATTACTACTTCATCATAAACCTCGCTTTACTATCATTTTTTTAATTTTTATATAGTTTATTATAACTTGTTCAGAATTTCAATTATTTCTACCAGTTCTATAAGTGTGTTTACATGCATTTAAAAAAAAAAATCTGATTATGCTTCATATATACACAGCCTGACAAAAGTCTTGTAGTCGATCCCAGTTGTTAGAGCAACAAATAATAACTTGACTTCTAGTTGATAATTTGGAAATCAAATCAAATCACTTTTATGGTCACATCATCAGCAGCACGTGTGCTATGATGAGTGAAAAGCTTAGGTGCTGGCCCCAGACAGTACAAAATACAGTGCAAATACAACGACAATGTGAAATTGACAGCGATATGTACAGTAAATAGATGTCCACATAGTTGTAGGCAGTATTGTTTCAAGTATGGATTGGTTAAAGTGCAGTGCATGCTGCATATTGATGGTGTGCAGTGAGGGATATGGAAGAGTCTGTGTGGGGTGTGTTAAGTGTTCATCAGCCTGATAGTCTGAGGGAAGAAACTTTCTTTCAGTCGGCTGGTGCGTGATCGGATGCTGCGGAACCGTCTGCCTGAGGGTAGCAGAGAGGAAAGTCTATGGCTTGGGTGGCTGGAGTCACTGATAATTCTCTTGGCTTTCCTCATGCACTGCCTGGTGTAGATGTCCTGGAGGGAGGGAAACTCGCCGAATTCTGCAAATATGGCAGAAGGTGGATTTTTCAGATGAATCATCTGAAGCATCCCAATCATTAAAACACTGCAGAAGACCTATTGGAACCCAAATGGACCCAAGATACTCACAGAAATTAGTCAAGTTTGGTGAAGGAAAAATCATGGTTTGGGGTTACATTCAAATTCTTCAGCAGGAAGCTCCTTCTCATACTCCATCCTCCACATCAAAGTTGCAAAGTTAAATAATTAAAAATCAAGCCATGATCATATTTTATTTCGGTAAAGCAAGTGTAATCTAAAGGCCTTTGCCTTTCATATAAGCCACTTTTGAAACCAAATGATCAACTATAGAAGCCAAGTTATTAATTGTTGTTCCATAAACTTGGATAGATGACAAGACTTTTGTCAGGTAGTGTAGGTTAACCGTCCACACGGTCATGTATTCCTTTAAAATACTAAGGTCATAAATGGCTTAAACATAAACCAATCCTGTCATCTACACCGAGACAAAAACATTCAAAGCTAGGTAAACAAATTATTCATTGATGCCGTTTCCACCAAATAAACTGATATACTAACATCATCTTGTAAACACTGTTTACTTCCATTACCAGGTTACTGGGTTGCACGTAAACTGGGACAGCAGCTTATTTCATTAAGCTGTCTTTTCTGTGATTTAAGTGTATTGTATGCAGGTAAACATGGTCAGTCAGTCTCATAGATGGACATCTTTCGGCAGGTCAGCCGTGATCGAACAGCCTCACCTGCATTCATTCATGTCCTGCCTTTAAGCTGCGCTCTATTGATCAGATCAAGAAGGATATTGATCCCATCTGCTGCACAAACTAGACTTAATAGAGTACAACACGGGCAGAGCACATCAACTGTAGCCAATCTGTGCTTGCAACAAAAGTACAGTCGAGAGTTTGCATAGAAGAATCCATAAAACAACAGTTTTATTTAGCAGATCCGCTTGCTTGTGTTGCTTACACTTCACATTTTCTAGCTTGAACCACTTAGAATATCACCAGACAGACTTTTTGTTTAGTTTGAAGTGGAAAAAGATGTAAATTTCATGTTTAATTAAGATTAACACTGACTTCGGCTGCACAGATTGCTTTGTAAATAGTGCGTTTGTAATTCACACCATCAGACTGACTATTGATCAACTGTTGGACAGCTGCCGCTTGAGTATTGTGAAGCGAGAGGCCGGACAACATGTCACGGTTTGATTTATGACGCTGCTTCTCAACGTGACACTGTATTAAAACCATCTTAATCATATTTCTGCATTGTGGCTTTATAACTGCTTTCTTATCAGAAACGTGTTGATAAGCGCAGCCCCAGGTGTTTCGGATGCCATGCTTTAAGACGGAGATTGAAAAACAATCGAAAAGTAGCACAGTAAATAGACAGTGTTTGAATTGGTTTTTCTTTATCGTATAAAATCATTAGCTGTTTCTATCAACCTCTTATAAATGCATATTTAGAAGTAACAGATCAGAAACTATTAATAAAATGCCACATTTAGAAATTATATAACTTAAATATCATTTAAAGTATTAAATCAATTCTAATGTTGCAAACTTTTTCACTGTTAAAAATGCAGGGTTTCTCACAATTCAAATATTACTAATTTAAATGGATTAAACATAAAACAATTAAGAATTGTGTTGGTTCAACTCCTAATAAATTATTAGTTTGAACAAGCAGCAAAAGTAAATTTTAGTGTTCCACTTATTGTGACGTTGTCTAATGCAGTGAAATCATATTTGCTTCAATGTATGCTAATCCACTGAAATCATATTCAGAGGAAAAAGAAACAAGTGTGATAAAACACTGACAGTCATGAAATGGCCTCCATAGAGTCCATACCTTAATATTATAGAGTCAGTACACTCAAAAGAGGATTTTTGCTGCTTGGTCATACTAATTATTTCAAATGAGCTGAAACGATACAATTCTTGAGGTTTATTTGGGGACAACTGAATTGTTTTTTGTTCAATCCACTTAAATGTTTTTACGTTAAATTAATCGTTTTCTGTTGGGACAGCATGAATTAAATGTGTGGAACGCTGCATCACCCTGTTTAAACTCATATTTTGAAGTATCACATCAGAAATGAGTGATAAAATGCCACATGTAGAAATTAAATTGATCACTAAAAAAAGTTTTTACGCACTTGAGGTTGTTTGTTTTTTTGACCTGCAAAAAGAATAAATCTGAATAATGGTTGATAGAAATGTTGTTGTATTACATTAGAAACAAGTGATAAAATGCCACATTTAGAAATTATCTAACTTAAATGGCTAAAAAAAAGTTCATAATTTATTGTTGTTTTTTGAAGTGCAAAAAAGTGTTAATTTGAATAATGGTGGATGAAAACACATTTGCCAAATCAATTCTGATGTAGCAAAATTTCCACTCTAAAAAAATGCAAGGTTCCACACAGTTTCTTCATGTTTTCCCAACACCTATTGATTAAGGTAAATTAACTGTTTTACAAATTTAAATGGATTGAACATAAAACAAATAAGAATTGTGTTGTTTCAACTCCTACTAAATGAGTAGCTTGAACAAATAGCAAAAGTACATTTTAGAGTGTTTCTCTAATTGTGACTTTGTCTAATGCAATAAAAACATATTTGTATGCTATGTATGCTAATCCACTGAAATCATATTTAGAGGGGGAAAAAAAAGTCATAAAAATGGCCTCCATAGAGTCTAGACCTTATTATTATTATTATTATTATTATAGAGTCAGTACACTCAAAAGAGGATTTTTGCTGCTTGGTCATACTAATTATTTCAAATGAGCTGAAACAATACAATTCTTGAGATTTATTTGGGGGCAACTGAATTGTTTTTTGTTCAACCCACTTAAATGTTTTTACGTTAACCTAATCGATTTGTGCTGGGGCAGCATGGATGTATTGTGAGAAACTCTGCATCCCCCTGTTTTAGCGGTTAATTTGAAGTATCACATCAGAAATGAGTGATAAAATGCCACATGTAGAATTTAAATAGATCACTAAAAAAAAGTTTTTATGCACTTGAGGTTGTTTTTTTTTTTTGACCTGCAAGAAGAGTTAATGTGATGGTTGATGGAAATGCCATTGCCAAATTAGTTCTGATGTAGCGAAAGCATAATTGATTTCAATATATGCTAATTTTATATGTGATACATGAAATGGCCTCCATAGAGTCCAGACCTTAATATTATAGAGGCAGTATGAGATTGTCTGGACAGTGAAAGAAAGATATGACAGCCTAATGCTGAGTTTACAACAAACACGGACCTCCTTGTCACTCGCTCTAGTTTTCTCACAGGATGTTTTTTTACCAGCTGAATTACTTGAACTTTTGCAGTAGATGAGTTTGTGTTGAATTCCCTGCATTTGCATAAAATGCACCACAAATCTTTTGTCATTCGCACAGCCCGGTGGAATTTCACCTCTGTTCATTCATTTACCCTAACTTCATATGTAATCTACTTGTGCATAGGCTTGATTTTTTTATTATTTTTGTTGTTGTTTTGAACCGAGCATAGATCTAAAGTAGAACATTGGGAGGTGTTAAAGAAGGCC